CGCCACATTTGGCATGTCATTTTTTTATTGGAGGGGAGGAGTGGGTACTCGGTTTTGATAGGTGATCCAAGGGTACGTTCTCCTCTGCGGCTTCCTCCCCGCAGTCTACTGAGACCTCTGACGTGTCCCGTAAGACTGTGGGACTATCCACAAAGCACAGCGTGGCTCGCACACACATTAGGTAGCTGCTTGTGAAGCTGAAAGTAGCATAGCTGGCTGCCCCCCCTACAACGTTTCGTTTGCCTTGCTCTGAGTCAGCTGCGGGTTGATGGAAGGTTCTTCTTTTTGCGCTGGGTGATCTGTTTGTATCCAGCCGGGTTTATTTCTATTTTATATCTAAAACTTAATGAATACAAAATGCGAACGTTCAGAATGACAATGCTGATAGGTGCTCTGACCTCATCATCTGTCTTTGGTTTTAGTGATCATGGACAAATACCAGGAACAGCCTCACCTCCTGGACCCCCATCTGGGTAAGTCACATAAGTCACATGATCATTTACAAGGCGGAAGGTATGATTTTTGGAGAATAAAGAGAAATGAAGTCGGAGGTTTTAGGGCCAACAGCAGCCTCACAGATAAATGCACAACTCAGAGACATCCACCGATCAGCCATAACTTTATGACCACTGACAGGTAAAGTAAATAACAGCGATTATCTCATTGCAACGGCATCTGATAGTGGGTGGGATGTTAGGCAGCAAGTGAACATGTTCTCCCTGAAGTTGATGTGTTGAAAGCAGAAAAAATGGTCATTGCAGTTTGTCGTGTATGGGACTGTGTAGCCGCAGACCGGTCAGGGGGCCCATGCCGACCCGTGTCCACAGCCAAAGACTCCTGCAGTGGCCACGTGAGCATCGGAACTGGAACACGGAGCAGTGGAAGAAGGTGGCCTGGTCTGATGGATCACATTTTCTTTTCCATCATGTGGATGGTGGGGGGGGTGTGCATCACTTACCTGGGGAGGAGATGGCATCAGGAAGCAGTATGGGAAGAAGACAAGCGGGCGGAGGCAGTGTGATGCTTTGGGCAATGTTCTGCTGGGAAACCTTGGCTCCTGCCAGTCATGTGGATGTTACTTGACACTGACCACCTACCCAAACATTGACCAAGTACACCACTCCATTGAAACGATATTCCCTGATGGCAAAGGCCTCTTTCAGCAGGATAATGCATCCTGCCACACTGCAAAAATGGTTCAAGAATGGTTAGAGGAACACAACAACGAGTTTGTGGTGTTGACTTGGCCTTCAAATTCTCCAGATTTCAATCCAGTCTATCTGTGGGATGTGCTGGAAAAACAAGTCCAATCCATGGAGGCCCCACCTCCCAACTTACAGGACATAAAGGATCTTCTGGTGCCAGATACCACAGAGGTCTGGTGGAGTCCATGGTGAGATGGGTCTGTTTTGGTAGCAAAAGGGGGACCTACTAAACCGGGATGGGGGGCAAACTTGAAGAGGTGGAGGTCTACCTGAACAACATGGGAGAAGTCTCCTCACACCTGATTTAAACCTCCAATTGCCATACTGTCGCAGTTACATGCATTGCACGGCGATCATGGGTTTAACTCCGGTGGTGATGAGGCAACATATCACCTCCTCACCACCTGTCAAATACATTCAGATCGCTTTTCAGAGGAGCAGCAGTGGCTGCTGCACTTGTGAATGAGCCCTTAGTTGCATACGGCAGCTGCACCCTTAGAGCTCGTTCACATGTAGAGTAGGGGGGTGGTAAACCTTGCAATTGATTTGCGGTTTTTAACTACCCCCCCCCCCAATCCCTACCCCCTTTAGCTACTGAGACAGCAGCCAAAGGTGTACACATGGCGCAGCAGGAATTAAATCCCCTGCTGCTTTTGGTAGGCGCTATCGCCTGTCATTCGAGACCTATTCAAGTAAATGGGGGCCACTCTGCAAGCGCCCCGCAACTGCATGCTCCTGCGAGGTCCAAGGGGTTGAAGCGGGTGGAGAGGAGAAAGCAATACAACGCTGCCTGCTTTGCTGTACTGCACAAGGTTGCAGAGCGGCCTCATTCACTTGAATGGGTCAGGCTTGGCGGGTGCTACACCCACCAACTATGAGAGGGCGTATAACTCCTGCTGCGGCTGCGACATGTGTACACCCCTGGCCACTGCACCTAAGGAGGGAGCAGTTGGGGTGGGGGTGGTAAAAACACACCTTGACTATGGGGGTTTTACCACCCCCCAAACCCCACCCCCCCTTTCTGTTGCATTCAGAAGTTTTGGTGTGCTTTCAGAGAGTGTGCCAAATCCTCAGGATATAATAGAAGTCTATGGCTAAGCGCAGCAAACCCACAGGAAAGCTGGAGGTACACTGCACTGCACCCGTGGTGTGGGCAAACCGCAGCAGATCAGTGTGAAAGCAGCCCTATACTATTATGCCCAGTGTATTGTTTTACACGGACCTGAAGATCTCGTCTTTCGTGTTGCCGGCACCACTCTGGAGACCGCTAGCCAGGATCAGAGGTGGAGTACCGTTGGTGTCACTCCGCATGAGACAGGGGCCGGCACTACAAAGAGGGGTCAGCTCTCGCTCCCTACTACAGCTCCAATGTTACAGGTAGTCCTGCATTTCACTCTGATGCTCTGGGATGGCGGGTCAGCAAGCCAGACTGCAATTTACCAGTCACCTGGCTGCGATCTACTGCTTGCTGACTCCTGTACTAAATATTTGGTGGGTGGTCATAAAGTTATGGCTGATCGGTGTATAAGATCTGTTGTATCTGTTAATGCTCATACTAGTGGTGCACTGAAATGAAAATTCTGGTGTCAACTGAAAATTCAAAATGCACTTGGCCGAAAACCGAAATGCGCAGTTTTTAAATGGAAAAAAATACACTTTGATTAAAAAAAACAACATATACCCCAATTTTTTTGTAAAATATGAAAGAGGATGTTACGGCGAGTAAATAGATACCCAACACGTCACGCTTTAAAACTGTGCATGCTCGTGGAATGGCGTAAAAATGCGGTACTTAACAATTTCCATGGGTGATGCTTTAAAAATGTCTTCAGGTTAGCAGTGTAAAGTTACAGAGGAGGTCTAGTGCGAGAATTATTGCTCTTCGTGGCAATACCTCACGTCTGTGGTTTGAACACCATTTACATATATGGGCATGGCCTACGTATGAGGGCGGGGGCGACAGAGGAACTTAACTTTTTTTTTTTTTGCACTGTTCCTTTAAAAAAAATTTTAATCACTTTTATTCTGATCACAAGAAATGCATTCATCCCCTGTAATAGAAATAATTAGTGACAGGTCCTCTTTATGGAGAGATATGGGGTCAATAAGACCCCCACATCTCTCCTCTGCAATGTAAAGCAATGGATCAAAAAAAAGAAAAACATTGATCTAGTGCTTTAAAAAAAAAAAAAATGGGCGTAATGGGAAGTCGCATCACTCCAGTCCTCCAAGGGCATAGAGAATGGCAGCCATCTTTCCTCCACTCATGTCTATGCGCAGCGCCGGGATCGATGATTTCTCACGTAAGGCTGAGAACTACTGAGCGGCGGGCGGCGGCCAGGGGCGGGGTTTTTTCGGCACCTATACCAGTGCTTTTCTTCATTTAGCCCGACGGCTGAAAGTGATGTTTTAGGCCGAAACGTGTCAGCCACCAAAATTTCGGTGCCATAGTTTTCAGAGCCTGCAGGTCTTCGTACCGTGTTTGGTTGGTTTCCTGTTCCTGTAAAGACCTGTTGGAATGGATATCCTTGAAATAGTTAACCCATGCTGAGTAAACACTGCTCTGAGCTCTCCTATGTGCTGGACACAAAACCAATGTTTCTTCATGGTGTCACTGAGGAGGCATAGGGGCCCGCCCCCACTGGATGGATAATGGGGGGATATTGGATTGTCCTTTATTTTATTAATGTTAATTATTTCTTCTCTTGCAGAGTGGATGTTGGATCTCTTACTGGAAATTATTCGGGATAAAACATCCTCGCCTCTTCTTTTCCACCTCGCCTTCAAATTTCTGTATATCATTTCTAAGGTAATGCGCTCCTAGCTCTGTCATATATATATATATATATATATATATATATATATATATATATATATATATATATATATATATATACTGTGTGTGTATGTATGTATGTGTGTGTGTATGTGTGTATATATATATATATATTTTTTTTTTTTATATATATATAGTGGTTCTCCATCTCACACATATCCTCTCTGCCAGGTACGCGGTTATAAAATCTTTCTCCGCCTTTTCCCACATGAGGTGGTTGACGTACATCCTGTACTGGACATGGTCCGTGCACAGAATCCTGCTGATCCCGAGGTAAGCCCTCCCCTCCCCCCCCGCCACATCCGGAAGGTCTGTTACCATTTTATACACATATAGTACACTAATAAGCGGAACTAAACCCTCCTGTCCTTTACAGCCAAGGAAGCTGCCATCTCAGCCTCTGATCTGCAGTTGCCAGTTCGGAGCACAAGCAGCTGTGACAGTTACCATTCACGATTTGCCTTGAATGTGAATGTTTTGGGAATCGGTTAAAATGTTACTAAACCCACAACAGTAAAATCTGTATATGCAATAAAGCATACTCATTCTACTCACTGTGGAACCTAAGGGGTTAATCCTCTGCATTGTGTAAAAAGGCTGCTTGATCCTGTCTTCTCTGATCCTCCCTTTCTTCTGTCCCCAATCCAATTGCCATAGTACAGAGCAGCAGTGGCAAGTCTGCACATACTCTTTGGTGTGTATTAGACAGTTTTTTTTTCTTTTTGGGAGAGTGCATATGATCAGCACAGGGTCAATCAGTACTGTCCAGACAGAGGGTCAGGGGTCATGCAGCCTCATAGGACAGTCAGAGGAGAATGAAAACTCCTCCTACAAGATTAACCAGTGCTCAGCAAAGACACTGATAGAAATCACAAGACTGCTATATCTGCTAACGAGAAAAGGTTTTTTAGCAGTTTTTATTTACTAAAATAATTTCATTTCCATGTTCTGTGTACTGTGGGAGAGCGGATATAGTGAATGCGGGGTCCGGGGAGAGCGGATATAGTGAATGCAGGGTCCGGGGAGAGCGGATATAGTGAATGCGGGGTCCGGGGAGAGCGGATATAGTGAATGCGGGGTCCGGGGAGAGCGGATATAGTGAATGCGGTTGCGGGGAGACCGGATAGAGTGAATGCGGGGTCCAGGGAGAGCGGATATAGTGAATGCGGGGTCTGGGGAGAGCGGATAGAGTGAATGCGGGGTCCGGGGAGAGCGGATAGAGTGAATGCGGGGTCTGGGGAGAGCGGATAGAGTGAATGCGGGGTCCGGGGAGAGCGGATAGAGTGAATGCGGGCACCGGGGAGAGCGGATATAACGAATGCGGGGTCCGGGGAGAGCAGATATAGTGAATGCGGGGTCCGGGGAGAGCGGATATAGTGAATGTGGGGTCCGGGGAGAGCGGATAGAGTGAATGCGGGGTCCGGGGAGAGCGGATAGAGTGAATGCGGGGTCCGGGGAGAGCGGATAGAGTGAATGCGGGGTCCGGGGAGAGCGGATAGAGTGAATGCGGGGTCCGGGGAGAGCGGATAGAGTGAATGCGGGGTCCGGGGAGAGCGGATAGAGTGAATGCGGGGTCCGGGGAGAGCGGATAGAGTGAATGCGGGGTCCGGGGAGAGCGGATAGAGTGAATGCGGGGTCCGGGGAGACCGGATAGAGTGAATGCAGGGTCCGGGGAGAAAGATTTTTAATGCAGAATAGAGATGCTTTGTCTCTTCTGCATTAAAGCTACTTACCCGCCTGCACGCTCTTGTACATTGCACACATTCGGCAATGCTGAATCTAACTGAACTCCCATTCATGCAATCCCCGCCCGGCGATTGAGACCTGGAAGCTGGCCGCCGGAAGATGCCATCAATCAGGAGCTCGGGGATGCTGCCTCGCTGGAACCGAGGTGTGTATAGTTCCGCTTTAAGTTGAAGAGTTTAGTTCCACTTTACATTAGACAATACAGTATGTGGTAATTGAATCATTTCTATGTGCTCACTAATGGAGGTCACACATGCTTTGATTTTTTTTTTTATATACAATGGAATCCGCAAACCATTGAATAGTCATAACTCCCCTTCGGATTGATTAAAAGTAGAATTTAAGGCAAACTTTATTTTTCATTTTGGATAGAGTAAAGGTGGGGTAGAACCCCCATCTGATTATTTTTTTGCCATCTTTTTCCCATTGGGGAGATTTCCCTTCATTTCCTGTCCAATAGCCACAACAGGAAGTGAGAGGAAATCCCTGCAAATTAAGGGAATAAAAGTAATAAAAAGAAAAATAACTACCCTGTTTCCCCTAAAATAAGACCTACCCCGTAAACAAGACCTAGTGCTATTTTTGGGAATTGCTAAAGTATAAGACCTACCCTGAAAATAAGACCTAGTTGTGATCAGGGCTTTTTTTCAGCCGGAACATGGCGGAACGCCATTCCGCCACCTCCGGCACTGGCCCTGCATACACCCATATATACTGTCTCTTATAAACATAGAAGCGAGGCTGAAGTGACAGCACCATCCACTCCCACAGAACCCCCCTACCTCTGTACTCACTGTGGGACAGGGAAGGAACAGATATATGCGGGTGCGGTATGCAGTGTGTTTAGGGGTGGGGTATCTCCTCCTGCAGCCTAATGCATGGAAGCCAATGCCCCAGGGGTGATCTCCGGCCATTGGGGAAGAGGTGGAGCGGTGAGTAAGTGTGCTTGGTGCACTGTGTGGGAAGATAGGAACCGAAACGGGAGTTACTATAGAGAGGGGCCGGCTGCTGACAGCTGTGTTTTGCAAAGCTAGCTAACCATATGAGGGCAGTGGAGGGGAAGATGTGCAAAGGTGAGCTGCAGTCAGGTGTTGCAGAGGTAAATTGAGTCAGGTGAGTTGCAGACAGGGTGCATAGGTGAGCTGCGGCTGGGGGGGGTGCAGAGGTGAGCTGAGTTGCAACCCACCTTTGCACCCCCCAGCCACAGCTCAGCTCTGCACCCCCCAGCCACAGCTCACTTCTGCATCCTAGGTCTGCAACTCACCCCTTCACCCTGTCTGTGGCTCATATCTGCACCCTGTCTGAAACTTACCTGTCAAGTCACCCCTGCAACACCTGACTGCAGCTCACAACTGTCATCAGCCGGCCCTCTCCATAGTAACCCTCATCCACAACTGCCTGCAGCTCACCTCTGCACCCCCTGTCCACACCTGGAGATTTAAAAAAATAAGACCTACCCCGAAAATAAGACCTAGTGTGTTTTTTTGAGCCCAAAAAGTATAAGACAGTCTTATTTTCGGGGAAACACGGTAGATCTAGGTTTGATCTAGGTCAGTGCCAGGGTTAGTGGGTCAGGGTCAGTTTTTTTTTTTTTTTTTTTTTTTAATGTTTTTTGTTTTATTTTATTTTTTTTTTTATTTTAACATTCGTATCAGTGTCAAATAGTGTTGGTGTCAGTGTGTTTTTAGGTGGGATAAAGAGAAAAAAAAAAAAAGGTGCAGAACTGTTTCTGGGCATTACTACGGGTACAAACAACAACTATTTATTTCGGGTTGCATTTTGGTGGTAGGTTATGGTGATAGCAAGAAATATACAGCTACATTTAAAAAAAAAACTTTTTTTTTTTTTTTACTGTTTTGGCCCAGATTTCCTGGTGATAAAAAAAAAAATAAAAAATCAAGAGATCGCCATTACCATTTACCACCAAATGAAAGCCCAATTTGTCCTGAAAAAAAACGCGGCATAATCCACCTGGATGTACAAAGTAGTTGTGCTAATATGTGCCGTTTTACTAACACATGTCAACGTTGCAAAATTGTGCTTGGACATTAACATTTGTTTTACCCTTAGGCGGGAAGGGGTTAAATATATTATTTGTACATAGGCGTATGATTGGGATAGGGGGTACTAAGTGAATTTAACCCCCATATATATATCTCTGTATAGACATGGGAAAACTCGCTACATGCTGTTGCTGTGGCTCTCCATGGCTTGTCTTATTCCATTTGATCTCTCTCGGTTGGATGGGAATCTTCCTACAGAAGAAGGACAAAAGCGCCAATCTACCATGGACACCATCCTGGACGTGGCTAAGGTGTGTGTTCTGTTATGTGCACTCCTTTTATTGTATCTGTTTTTTTTTCCTTTTTTTTTTCTACTAAGAATTAAAGAATAAGCTCATGTTACACCTGCATTCAGGATTGCACTCCCTGATTCCCCCATCCTCTTGTGACAACAGGCAGGGGCTTCTCTCCCTGCACCCCATGTCAAAATTATAAAAAAAAAAAACGCATCCGTGGAGGGCTCTGTCCACACAGCCACATCGTTCACAGAGATCTGTGAATGACTTAACTACAAGTTCCGTCTACCACCGCAGGAGATAGCTTTTAAATCTCAATGAACTAGATTAGGAACTGAATGTACAATGTATATGTAAAGCGCTGCGTAAATTGCTGGCGCTATACAAGTATCTGAAATAAGTAATAACTAAATAAATACTTGAGAGGCTCATTAGCACCCTCGTAGTTCATTGATACTTCCTGAGGATGAGTAACCGTCTGCCTGTATGGAGGTACAGGAAGACAGCTGTCAGGAGCCTGATATTGCACCCACAATCTACTAATTGTGGGTTCAATGCTTTGCAAGCTCCATGGTTAATTAAAAAAAAATCTTACTTTTTTTCAAGCAAAATCATGTGCATTTTTTTATTATTATTATTATTATTATTATTATTATAATAATATAATAATAATAATAATAAATAATAATTAATAATATATTTTTATTTATACAAAAGGTGAACTTAGCCTTTAAAGTGGATTTCCAGGCTCTAACTAACTAAACCTAAAACAGCTCCCACCCCTCCCCCACCTCCTGTACCAAACTACCTTGTAAAAAGATGATGCACATACTTCCCTAATCTAAGTGTTCAGTCACATGATCTCCCCAGCGGCTGGCTTCAAGAAAGACGAGAGAGCGCCAACAATGGATGGACGGATGGAATGCCTGGGGGGGGATGACGTCACCCATAGGCATGCTTACTATGGGGCATCTGTTATCAGCTGGCCCTCATCTCCCCTGCAGCCGCCACAGGGGGCTGATCATGTGACCGGACCGGTGCACCCTGAGAATAGGTGTAAGTATAAGCATCTTTCTTCTACAGACTAGTTAGAATAGGAGATAGGATGGGGGGGGGGGGGAGCTGTTTTAATCTTGCTTAGTTACAATTTGTCCCCCATAATTAATATCATTTTGTCGGTTTTGTTTCAGGCCTACTTGTTGGTGAGTGATAAAGCCCGAGATGGAGCCGCTGTGCTGGTATCAAAGTAAGTTTGAAACGTGTGACCTTGAAGTCTGTTCCAAAACCAACGCTCCCTGCGCTTTTCATGCCACACTGCAACATCTTTCATTAACCCCTTGCCTACCAGGCACTTATACCCCCTTCCTTACCAGGCCAATTTTCAGCTTTCAGCGCTGCCGCACTTTGACAATTGCGCGGTCATGCAACATTGTACCCATATGAAATTTTGATCATTTTTTTTCACAAATAGAGATTTCTTTTGGTGGTATTTAATCGCCACTGGGCGCTTTACTTTTTGCGCTATAAATAAAAAAAGTGCAAAAAATTTGAAAAAAAAAAAAATTTTTCTTTGTTTCTATTATAAAATTTTTCAAACAGGTATTTTTTCTCCTTCACTGATGTGCGTTGATGAGGCGGCACTGATGGGCACTGATAGGCGGCACTGATGGGCACTGATAGGCAGCACTAAAGGGCACTGATAGGCAGTACTAATGAGGTGGCACGGATAGGCGGCACTGATAGGCAGCACTAATGAGGTGGCACGGATAGGCGGCACTAATATGCAGCACTGATAGGCGGCACTGATAGGTGACACTGATGATGGGTACTGATAGACGGCACTGACTGGCATCACTGCTGGGCACTGACTGGCGGCACTGACTGGTGGCACTGACTGGCTGCACTGGTGGGCGGCACTGGTGGGCAGCACTGGTGGGTGGGCACAGGTGGGTGGCACTGGTGGGCACAGGTGGGTGGGCACAGGTGGGTGGCACTTCTGGGCACAGGTAGGTGGCACTTCTGGGCACAGGTGTGTGACACTGCAGAGTGGCACAGGTGGGTGCACTGCTGGGCACAGGTGGGTGCACTGCTGGGCACAGGTGGGTGCACTGCTGGGCACAGGTGGGCGGAGCTAGTGGGCGCACTGCTGGGCACAGGTGGGCGGAACTTGCGGGTGGCACTGCTGGGCACCGATCATCAGGGCACTGATCATCAGTGTCCTGATGATCGGTGCCGATCCCCGCTGTGACAACTGCCGGTTCTCGGCAGTACTTTCCTCACGATCTGACAGCGTGAGGAAAGTGCAGCCGAGAACCGGCACTTGCATTTCCCTGTGATCAGCGTGTCATTGGACACCGCTGATCACGTGGTAAAAGGCCGCTGGGATCGGCCTTTTACCACATCACGTGATCAGCTGTGTCCGTAGGACACAGCGATCACGGAGATCGCCGGGTGCGCGCCCCCTGGGGCGCGCAGGAGAGCGCGTTCTGGGGGGACGTCATATGACGTCCACCCAGAACTGGCCGGCCGCAGTGAAG